AAGTCACGGCTGTCAATTGGGGGGCCTGGTTCTCACTTCTGTTCTTTCCTCCCTCCATGGGCCCAGCAAACACCACTGGGAATCAGAAAGTCCTTCCCACCTGCACGTCCCCTAGGTTGGCACAGGAGGAAGCAGGGAAGTGGTGACAGGGGACCCTCTTCGCTAGGGCGCATCCTGAACAAGACTGTTAACCAGCTTTTGATCCAAATGTCAGCAACAGGCCACTAGAACGTGGGCTCCGTGAGGGCAGGGACTGATGTCTCTGGTCACTGCAGGAGGCCCAATGGCCAGGGCTGGGCCCGGCACAGTCAGCGGCAAATAAACACTGGCCCAGTGAATAAATTACTGCCTTTGATGATGGCATATCACAAGTTTAAATACAGAGGCCAAAAAATAAAATATACTCAAGCCAATTTAAAGAACGTACACATGCACAGGCGCACACACACCAAGTTACTGGAAGCTTAAAGGCACACCAACTATAACTAATATTTTCATAAGGATTCATTCAAACGCTGCCTCCGGGCCTGGCGTATCCACTCTTCCTGATTCTCCAGTGATCAGTTCAGAAAATAGAGCCTCCAGGGGGAACCACAAGGGCACAGGTGGGTCCCCCCCAGGCAAGAGGGAGACTCTCCCAGAGGGCCCACTCCTTTGGAGATCTTGAAGCCACTTTTGTTGAATGACTACATTTTAAAAGGAAGGACACACGAGGAAAGGCAGATAGAGCGCAGATCAATGGATTGCTGATGCAGGGATAGAGCGCAGATCAATGGATTGTTGATGCAGGAAGAATTTTTGCAGAGCGACAGCTCCCTAGTCACGTGGGGACTGAGATCTGAGCTCTTCCAACCCTGCCCCCAGACACTGACACAAACCAGGGGTGAGCAGAAAGGAATTCAAGTTAAATTAATTAACTCAAGTTCAATTACAATTAAATCCAAGCCAACCCACCTCAACTCCTGATTAAACAGAATTTATCTCCTCAGCCTCGGTGCCTCTTCTTCATCACTGGAGAAGCCAGCTGAGGACAAAGCTGTCACTTAGGGAAAGAACTGCGGAGAAGCGCAGCCTGGCCAGCCTTACCCGAGCCCCAGCCTCAGCACCGTGAGCCCATGGCAGGGATGTCATTAGTGTTTAAGCCAGTTTGGTTTCTGTCATTCCCAACCCAATGAATCTTAGTGGATACAAAGCACAAGCCCCAACCAATTATCTACTACAGAGCATGCATAGACACACATATGATTACGCGGGCAAAAGGGGACATCTGTAACACTTTCAACAATAAAGATAAATTTTTTTAAAAATTAGTGATATGCAATTTCTGAATAGTCACGGTATCTTCTAAATACTGACTAAAAGGAACTTTTTAATGCTATAAATGAACCAGACAATGTTAAAAAATAACTGCAATTATTTTAAAGAAGAATCAGAACAGCCCAGCTGGGCGTGGCTCAGCAGTTGAGCATCAACCTAGGATCCAGGAGATCATGGTTCGATTCCCAGTCAGGGCACAGGCCCGGGTTGCGGGCTCGATCCCCAGTTGGGAGCGTGCAGGAGGCAGCCGATCAATGACTCTCTCATCATTGATGTTTCTCTCTCTCTCCCTCTCCCTCTCCCTTCCTCTCTCTGAAATCAATAAAGATATGTTTAAAAAACAAAACAAAACAAAAAAACAATCAGAACAGAACTAAAACTACAAAGCAGACAGTGATGCTTTCACGGGTACCTTTGTCAGATGTGTCCTGACGAGCCCACCACCACTCAAACGTGCAGAAGTCCTGGGGGTTTTTTGTTGTTGTTGTTAATCTTCAACTGAGGATATTTTTCCCATTGATTTTTAGAGAACATGGAAGTAGGGGGAGAGAAACATCGATTGGTTGCCTCCCGCACTCAGATCGAACCTGCAACCCAGGTACGTGCCTCTGACCAGAATCGAACCCTCGGCCCTTTGGTGTGCGGGGCTAACGCTCTTACCACTGAGACACCTCGGCCAGGGCAGGAGTCCCATTTTGATAGTGCCTCACAGCGAAGTTCTTTTATTATTTTACCATTTAGCTCCACCATTACATGTCACATCTACCACGGTGGAAAAGGCAGAGACCGAAATTCAGATAGTCACGGGAGGCCATGAGAATGCTCATGGAAGACTCTAAACTGAATCTGAAAGGAGAAATTAAAATAACCACAGAGGACAGACAAGAAGTCTTAAACTAAAAATAACCACGTAAAAATCGAAAAACATTTCTAAATATCCCAGCACCATTTCAGCTGTTGAGAGTGGCCAAAAAACCTTCAGAAACTCATGCTCTCACCCAAACGGGGGGGGGGCTCACACAGACTCCGTATCTTCATGCCAAGTTCCAACCTTCCCAACTGGAGTGATATTTTATGAATCAGTTTATAAGGTCCTAAAAATAAGGAGCTATAACAGAAATAGGATCAGCCTGTCCCTTGTCTCTGGGAGCCCCCAAAACTGCTAGAAATGCAAGCTCGGTTGTCCCCAAGGGAAGGCAGCAGGTCCCTCCAGGTGGCCTCGAGGGTATCAGCCCCTCTACCCCCTAGAGAGCATGCGGCTCACCTGCCCAAACGCGCAGGCGTACAGCGGGCGCTTCGTGGAGGAGGCAGAGAGATCAGGCTCCCCTCACCTGTGCGAGCCAGCTGGCTACCGCCGAGCCATGTCCGGGGCTGGGGTAACACGAGGACAAGGCCCGGCGACGCCTGCGGCCACCACGATTAGCCCCACAGAACATGTTCCCATGGGAAAGCTCGGATTACTCTGATTAATCTTTCCAGGAAACTTCAACAATGCCTTTTGCGGGTGTCTCGGTGAATTAATTTCCGGAGTTTCTAAACTCCCAGTGCTTGATGCTTATTAGCTAAGCCTATTAAGGGGCCCACTGTCCTCCTCGGCACAGCAGCAAAGTCCACTGAGCGCCTCATGCAGAGGAAGAGCGACCAGAAACAAAACATGGACCTTTCTCCTGAGTCCGTGTCCCCACCCAGGGCAGAGCCTTAAATTCCCATTTCTCCCGCACGGCAAAGCACGCGGATGCGAGGTTTGGGGGGGAGGGAAGGGGAAGGTTATTTTTTTAAGCAGCAGCAGCAGCAATGTCTCTCTGCACCTTTGCATGACTGCTCTTGTTTTAACTTAGTTTCCATCACACTCTCCCCACCCTGCCTTTGTGACAGCTTCATTTCCTTTGTTAGAGGCTAAACAGTCCATCCAAAGGACACCTCGACGCTAACCCCTGGGACAAAAATGCAGACACAAGCGCAGTTTATCATCTGGTCAGCAGTCCTCGCTCTCACACCCCTAAAGAGGTGGGGAGCCGGCAACCAGACAGACATCCCATGACATCACCCATGCGCACCGTGACCGGCAGCTGATGTGCGCTGGCTTCACTGGAGGGGGAAATGGGGTTCAACCATACTTGCCCTTGGATTTCATGGTAATTTTAAGCTACCAGGAACTTTATACCAAGTCTATCTTCCCTGCTTTTGTAAGGGTGTGGGATGGGCCAGAGCAAAACCCTAATGCTCTGTGGCACCCTCTCTTCGTTTACCACTCAGAGCTCTCCTGGGCTTGCAGAGATGGCCTCGACCCAGCAAAATCACCTTCCGTGCCTCCCTGACGAATACAGACCAGGCTAAGGAAGGTGACTACCTGGGCAGGATCCGGACTGCACGAAATGGCTGGGCTGAGCTGCAAGGCTCATTTCTAAACAACAGAGTTGTTCTAAAAGAGAGTCACATAAGGGATTTCTTTCTAGGATCACCGGAATACTAAACTAAGGCACACTATATTTTTATTTTCGTTGTATTTTTTTAAAGATTTTTTAAATTGATTTCTAGAGAGGAAGCGAGAGGGGGAGAGAGAGAAACATCGATCGGCTCCCTCCTGTATGTACCCCACCAGGGATGGAGCCCACAACCCGGGCCCCTGCCCTGACCGGGAATAGAACCAGCAACCATTCAGTGCACGGGACAACGCCCAACCCACTGAGCCACACCAGCCAGGGCAGGAGACACACTATATTTTTATACAAAGATAAGTCTTGAAACTCCAAAAGCACAACTCCCAAAGCTCAGCCACGGGGTCCCACGGTCTCCAGGTAGAAATACCACCTGTGAGTAGCGGGATGTTTGTCTTCATCGGGGGACATTCGCAGGCAGACTGCTAGTGACACAGCACCATGAAATGTTCCTTAACGCCTGACAGATAACCCACAGATTGCTCACATAGAGGCACAGAAAGTAAGAACACAGGGTTCTTCCCCCACGCTGCTTGCGAGGATCGCCTTTAAAAACACTGACATCCAAGTCACACCCCTGACCCATCAGATGAGGATACTGGGGGACAGGTCGGCGCACGGCATTCTTTAATGCAGTGGTTCTCACACTTTCACATGATCAGATTGACCTGGACGGCCTGTGAAGGTAGTGATTACTGGACCTGCTCCCCATTTCTGATGGAAGCGGGGTACCGAGAACAGGTTTCCAGGTGATGTTGATGCTGCTGGCCCAGGGGCCACACTTTGAGAATCACTGCTTCATGGGTCGCCCAAGTGACTCTGATTCGAGCAGCTAGGACTGAAGACCCCTGTCTTAGGAGAGCAAGTTCTGGCCAGCGTACCGAGGGGAGGAATTCTCACCCTAGCTCTGCACCAACCTGGGGTCTGATAACAATGAACCATCCAGGTTTTCGGGCCTCAACTTGCTCTTGATCCATACAGATGAGACACTGTATTAATGAGATCCTGGGTTCCTTCCAGAAATGCCTTCTTCAAAGGGCTGCTACACATGAAATGCTGACACTAATCCACACAGAAAGGAAAAGGCAGGGGCCCTTAAAGGGATGAAAAAAAGCTTTCAAAATACAGGGAGGGGTAAGTTTTTGCTCACGTGACTTCGGTGCATTTGGGGACACACCAGTGGGAATGGTCTGGGACCTGCAATGGTGCCAAATGTGAGTCAATCATCCTGTTTTCCAGACTCACCTGTTAGAACCTGGCAGAGCTGCCCAGGGGCCTGGGCCTCGGTGGAGGGGCTGGGTGTCAAGGACCATTTGCGTCTGACCAAATGTTCCCTTCCGCTGAGCGAGCCCTGGGAATTGTTGAGGGGCTGGATGAGCACCTGTTCCTGCCCGAGCTGGATGAGGCCAACCTGCCCAGAAAAACGAAAACAGGATGTCAGTCACCTTCATTCATACTCACCTGCGACCCCAACAGCCCTAGGGCAGCAAGGCCACCTGGCTCCCACATCTGGGCTTTGTCTTTGCAGGTTGCCCAAGGTACAGAGCCCTAGAAGGGGCTTCCCTGTGACTAGAAGTATCCCACCAACAGTTGTGATGAGAAGGGGGGCACAAGGTGTGGGGGGTACAGTGATAGATATACAACAGCACCCACTTTCCAGGTTTGCTTTCAAAGATGTATTTATTAATAAAAGCAAAGTTGATTTTTTTTAAGGATTTTTTAAAAATTGATTTTGAGAGAGAGAGGAAGGGAAAGGGAGAGAGAAACATTGATTGGTGGCCTCCTGCATGCCCCCTACTGGAATCGAGCTTGCAACCCAGGCATGTACCCTGACCGAGAATTGAACCCGCAACCTTTGGTGCACAGGATGATTCTCAACCAACTGAGCCACACCAGCCAGGGCTAAACTTGATTTTTAAAATAATTTTTTAAATCATCCCCAAAAGTCTACCTGAGGAAGCAACCCCAAATGTGCTGGGAATGAATGACAATTATATCCTTAATGAGAAAATGGATCTCTCCCCAGGGATATTTAGAATTACATGGAGGGTGGAGTCAGTCAGACCTGTATGGTCACTAGTTTTGTGACAGGAGATTTGTACTTTTTTTTTTTTTTTTCAGAACTTGTAGCATCTATGAGAACTTGGCAAAGTATCTAATGGGTTAGATTGGTAATTCTAATTTAAAATGCATCATTGATTTAGACTTGTGATTTTTAAAATCTTCTTAGGTTTATAAGCAGCACTAGAATATATAAGAGAACTTAAGATTTTCTATGTTTATAAGACTAATTTATTAGGTTTATAAGAATCACTTAAGTACTTGCAAACAAGGGCTTGTTTCTAATCAAAGAACTTAAAAAAGAAATTGAATATGTTAAACTTCTAAACAGAGTTTGAAGGGTTGAAAAGCTGTTAATCACCAAATTTATAAATGGGGCCAAATATTATGCAGACCCCCTCAAACGGGACTGCAGAAAGTTGCTAGATGATAAATGAAATGTGATTTTTAAGTTGAATGAAAATGTAAGAACTAGGATTTTTAATTGGTCGCTTTAATAGAAGGAATATTAATTCTAAAAACATACACACACACACACACACGATACAGAGAACTATTCCCGCACTTGGAACCAATGCTCCTTCCCCAGGATACCCGCTTCTGTCCTCGTTCCCCTTCTGATCAGGAGTCAACAGGACCAGGTAAACCTCCCACGAGGAACCCAAGGGCTGGGGGAGGCCCATGCTTGCTCACTGGGCTGCAGTCCATGCCCCCACCCTGGCCTCAGCTAGCAGATTCAATAGTCCCGGTGGGTCAGTCTCAGGCTGTCACGAACATCCCGTCTTCTCCCTCTGTCCCACCACCATTGCCTGAAAGCTATGACACACTAAACCAGTGCTTCTCAAACTCCAGTGCACATCAAAGTCACCTGGACATCTGGGTGAGACCCAGAATGTGCCCTTCCAACAGGTCCTCGCGAGATACTGATGCTGCCGTCCGGGGGCCCTACTCTGAGAAGCACTGCCCCCCCGCCCCCAGCCTCAACACAGCGCTTCCTCCAGCCATGAGCACAGAACTCGCTCAGGCCGCAAGCTACAGACCCCTCCACCTTGCAAAAGGAAGAGTTGGCACCAAGCCTCTCCGAAAGTAAATTGGATCACCCAGTAAGATCGCCTCCAACCTCCAGTCCTCAAAACACCGGGTGAGACTGTACTGACTGCTCTAAGCAGATTTCAAGGTTTCTAATTCATTAGAACGCCTGCCAAGAACAACTCAGAGATTTTACTGCCCAAATAAAACTCTTAAAAGTGGCACTGCGTGACCCACAGCAAAGCACGGCCTTCAGCCTCTCCCCTGAAGTTACAACTTGAGTATGTTCCCTCTGGTACTTTGAGGAGACTGAAGAAGCGGAGGCACAGAGCCCCACTGGAGCTGGTGTGCAGAAAGCGTCAGGCCAGCGCAGAACACCTCAATGATGGCAGGTGAAAACCTCCACGGTGGAAACAGAGTTGGCTTACGGCACGGGGCATGGGAGGCGTTGTACCTGCAGGAGCCCCATGCTCCCTGGAGGAGACACTCAACTCTAACAAGGGGCCGACTCTTCCTGAAATGCTCAGGCTACGGGAGGTCAAAGGCCCCCTTGGGCCAGGCACTTTCAAAGCCGGTTATTATTTGTTCAGCCCAGTACTTGTGTTCACAAGGCAGTGAGCAGGTAGTTCTAACAGGATGCAATATAGGGAGAATCTCACCTTGGTGACAAACCCTACAGGGTACTCACACACGGTCTAGCCCCTAGGGGAGGTTTTGCTTTAGAAGGTCTTGTTTGGAGGGACCCACATGCTGGCTCACCACCTCCTCTGGTTGTCCCCCACCCTGCCATTGCTATCACCAGGGACTCCCCAGTCAGTAGCCAGAAAGGCTCCTCATTGCCCCTTGGCCAGTGATCTCAAAATGAGGTCCCAGACCAGCAGCAGCACCTGGGAACATGTCAGAAACTCCAGCTCTCAGGCCGGGGTGGGGCCTGGCAGCGCGCTAACAAGTCCTCCAGGAAACTCGGATGCCAGCACCAGGTTGAGAACCACGTCTCTAGGATAAATTCCAAATGCCTCAGGTTGGCACCCAGGGCCCCACCTCACCGAATCCAGACGCCTGTCCATTCTGTTCATCTCCCACCATCTCCTAAAATAATCACCTCCCATCCCTATCCCACAGCCAACTCGCGGACCCTTATCTCGGGATAAACCTGGGCCATCCTGCGCTCTCTTAGAACCTAAGACCCACCCCCTTCAGCTCCAATTCTCCCACCTCCAGCCACCCTGAAGGCTCCACTGCACCTCCGTCCTGTGCAAATCTGGACTGCCCTCTGAGACAGGGCCTGCATTTATTTGAGGCTCGATGGGAGCCTACCAGAGTGTCCTGCACACAGAAGGTATGTGACAGTGAGCTGGTTGCTGTCAACGGTGTTGACCAACTGGTTGATTTATAACTGGAAAAGCCTGGGAACGGCCTGTGTGGCAAGAGAAGAGACGTGTTCCCAGTGCTTTAATGTGCCAGCTCTCACTTAATGATTTCGCAGACTTCATCTGTTTCATGCTAGCAACAGCCACGCAAGGCCGCTGTTATTTACCCCCTCACCCTGCACAGCTGCAGGTGGGGAGGCTCCAAGGAGCTAAGGGACTCGCTCTAAGATCACAGCCCCGAACGGCCGTGCAGTCTCATTTCCTAAGGAACACGAGCGTGACTGTGCATCTGTGTGCGGGGGCGTGCGCAGGGAAAGGTTAACCGGTGGCTCTGCGTGGTTCCCTCCAACGTGCTGGCTGCAGGAACATCTCCCGTCGGACACATCCAAGGTCAGGCAGCTGCAGCATTTCAGAGTTCAGGAAATAAACTCCAAGAATGCAATCCGTCTAAGACGTCTTCAGTTCATCATCCCATCTCGACTCCTTTTTCTTTTTCAAGACCTTGCCAGCAAAGCAGAAGTTCAAATGAGGGAATCTCGTTACGTCCCCCCGGTGACGGCCACGGGCGGCCTGACGCCCAGGAGCGGTGGTGGGTGTAGAATGTCACCTAGGGGCCGTGTGAACATCTTTCCAGAGGAGGTGTGAGGCCTTAGAGCTCTCCGATCCAAGTTCTTCCCTTTTGTTCCTCTGTCCTTCCGAATTTCACGACTGTCCTTCGCCTTCTTACTTTCCCTAACCTCCACCCAACGGTTTCTTTCTGCAGGGCTTTAAGAATCCTCTTTGCGTTTTCCAAATAAATTTACACCGCCCATGATCAGTAATATCCATTGATGGGTCTCTTAGACGATGCACCTTCCCGACACCTGTTATCAACACGATGACGTGTGATCGTGTAGCCTGGTCCAGCTCCCTTCCAAACGGTCTCCGCACCGTAGGATCTTTGCCAAGGCTAATTCCTGCTCCGCTATATGTGATCACGTGATGCTGCACAAAAGACGTGGGCCGTTTTATCAACAATCAAGAGCCTGGTAACTCTTCCAGAGGCGGCAGCACCCCAGACCTGCCCCTTCGTCGTAGGAGTCTAGGCTGCCCTCTCGGGCACGGGGTCCCCCAGCTCTTCTGATCTAAGCTGCCCGCTGGCCTCAGCTCCCTGGTATTATTCTCTGGACCACCCTCCCCCCGTGGAACAGAGGTGAGCATTCCGCGAACGCTCGCAGAGGCCGTTAGTAACCACCTGAGGCGGAAGGGCCACCGCTCAGCTGCCCAAACCCGTCGGCAAGTCTCACGGGGAGGGATGGAAAACAGCCCCTTCGTCTCCTGTCTTCAGACAAGCAGCACAGAGAGCCCTTTTAGAGGCTGCCGCTCATTCCATCCCTTGGAGTTCCGTCCCCTTGCCAATTCCGGGGGAGCTTACCCCGACTCGCGCTCTGTTGGCATTCCACGATCTGGTCCTATTCACGGAGGCGGCTGGTCCAAACTGACGTAAACTATTTGGGGCAGGAAATACCTTCCCTCACATGCCCAAACGTCATGGCTTTGAAATTACACAGTTACAGACACTCTTCCAAAACCTTACGCTATATCTAAGGACTCTCAGAAATGTAAATAAAACGAAGGAGCATAAACAGAAAACAATTAATACTTGAGCCTGTGGTCTTTGGAGACCCAAAAAGTGCCGCTTGCCCAGCCTTCCGAAATAAGACACAGAGAAAGGAAACACCACAGGCCCACGCCGGCGCCCACGGGCAAACACGGGGGTGGGGGGGAGGGGGCGGCACGGAGCCTGAGATTTACTCTTCATGTTCCTAAGCAATGACGTAAGGGTCTGTTCTGACCGTGCCCTTCCTTCGAACATCTCTGGGGACAGACAGCATGGTGGGGTCCACGCGACAGGAGCAGAGGCTGTGTTCCCCCGCCCTGCGCCCAACACTCCCCAGCAAGCCACCGTGAGGTGTTAGGTGTGGCAGGATCTAACTGGTACTCAACGTCGGAATAAAGTTTTATTGAGCACAGCCATGTCCGTCTGTTTATTTACCGTCTGTGGCAGCTTCCTCACTGAAAGGGCAGTGTTGAGTGGCTGCGACAGAGACCATAGGGCCCACGATGCTTAAAACAGTTACTCTTTGGCCTTTTACAGACTAAGTTTGCCAACCCCGCTCTAAGTATCTCGGGATACAAGGAGGCTCTGCAGTGCGGCCATCTGTGGCCACCAAAAATGACCTACGTGGCATTGCCCATCTCCCACGCCTTGGAGCCAGGCCTGTCCTGACACTCGCCACACACACGCACGCACGCGCCCCACGTCTCCACCTCGCAACGCTTCCACCGCGGTCAAGGGTGAAGGTCACGCGCCCACCCACCTGAACTGTCTCAAGCACGTCTGAGAACCACAATAGCAGCGGCTTGCAGTGCGCTGCAAACTTGGTTCGCCCCCTCTCCTGTTCTTCCCTTTCTCTGTGCGTTCCGGGACCACCCTGCCACCAAGAGGCCCCCTCCAAGGCGCCAGGCTATGTCTTCCCTCCTGCCTTCAGCCAGCGTGTACTTGGGGAAAAGGGTCCGGCGTCCGGCTCACGCGGACGGACGGGGTGAACAAGGCAGGCTAAACAACAGGAGCATCAGCTCCAGCAGGAATTCAGAATCTCTAGCCTTAGAGGTCCACCCGTGTGCGGCTGGCACGGCTGAACTCAGCCTCTTGGCCCTGTTCCTTTATCTAAAGCACAGCGCCCTCACATGGTGCCGAGGGGAAGGACAGTCCCGAAAGCCTGGAGGACTGAAGTGAACCCTGGCTGCTCAGATGCCATCTGCGAGAGGGCCCAGCACTCCCTCGGCGGGGATTTAAATCAATGTTATCCAGATTTCCACCCCCGGCTCCTTCACAGATAGCTGCTCGCTGGAAACTTTACACCAAGAAGTATAAACTCTGACCTCTACAGAAACTCACTAAACCGCAGCAAATGGGATTCAGATGTTTCCATGTACAGTGCAGTGATGTGACCTAGACTTTAAACACTTTGGCAAAAACAGCAAAAGTGATGTGGGCCTTCCAGTCCCTCCCAGAACATGATACAGTCATGACCCGAGTCCTACAGTGATCCGAGCCTCTCCCACTCCTTCTCAAGCCTTCTCGCCCACAGCCCACATTCTCCGCCCGACC